GCCAGGTCCAATTAGAATCGAGAAAAAACACTAAATGTACTAATATTTTAAGGTACAATATGAAATTTTTAATAGACATGTTTGGTTGTGCATGTGTCTAACGCCATCTTCAGTACATTTTACAAGCAAGTAAGAATGCATACATATATCGATCTTACACGTCATATGACAATCATATGCTTGGCTCACCTTCTTGTTTCTCTGGACATATTTGCGAAGGTCCATTAATGTTTTCTGTTTACGATAAATAATGTTGTTTAGTGAGTTTTCTAAGAATTAAGAAGAGCTTTAGTAAGAAAAAAATGTTCATATTCTCTGAGTATACACAACATCTCGCGATTATACTTTTGTGAGACCAAGACACTGTTTAATCAAGACAATATAAAAGAATTGGTCGTTTAAAAGTTCCAATAACATCCTCTAACTTTTATCATTTTGTGAAGTCCATTTGTCGGCCATGTTTGAAAGTCATGTTAACATTAGTCAAATCCAACTAGAGATCTATCATCAATATTAGAGGGCCACAAGTTTATCAGTTAACAAAATTATTGTCACGTGTCACCTTCATTAAATAAAGTTTCCAATCCAATCCAATGCTGCGCTCTGATTGGATGAGCTATACTACTAGTCTATAATCAATAACCTACTAGTAAAGAAAAGTGCTGGTTTTTAAAATCAAAACATAAAATTTAGCTTTAATTTAACACTTTTTTGCATCTTTATGTTTAAACTACTCTCATGGCCATGGCCATGGTCTCTCTGCCCTCGTGGCCTATGAGTCAATAGCCAATTCGGGCTTGAGATGAGGGATGGAGGGATGGAGTCATGGCCATGGCCATGGTCTCTCTGCCCTCGTGGCCTATGAGTCAATAGCCAATTCGGGCTTGAGGACTAATTTCTAAATAACATGAAGACGTTTTGACTAATTTGCGTGCGGACTATGTGCATGTGCAGAGATTTTTCACTCATGTCCGACTGAGGTGTCAATTGCTTACCYACATAAGGAAAGAACTGCTGTGTGATGGTCTTTGTGGCGTCTGGTATGTCCTCTTTCTTAACATTTGGATAACTTGCCTTGTTCTTGAGATAGAACGCCTCAGCCACCCCAGTAACTTGTTCTTGTAATGACTCAAGGTCAACTATACTTTTGWACTTGCTATATCGTTTACAGCTTGCAACTGACATGTCATAACAGACTCCAGTCGAGTAATACATCCTGAGCAACTGACCCAGACGCACGCCYTTGCTTACCCACCTTGGAAGGTRATATCCCAAAAGAAACCCGTCTATATCCCCCAGGAGTTCAGCATCGGACGCTCCAGTRCTGACGTCTGAGGAACTAGTATATACCTCGGGGCATTTGGTGTCATCCCATGATCCACCAGGRCCAAAGTAYGGGAGGGATGCATCATTCTTTTTCGCCAGTGCGGCTTGCGCAAGATCCCTGGATATGGTTGCTCCGTACAGRTTATCGATCTCCTTTACAGCACCCGGCGACCACTGTCCGAGTGAGGTTCGCCTTTCTCGAATAAACCCTGCACAGATTCCATTAATCACGTGACCAATGGCTATTGCTTCTCCAGATGATGAGCGTATTACTCCTAACTCAAGTGACCCTTCGTGGCTATGGACAACCATCTTTTTGAGAACGTCTTTTTCCGCACTGTTTAAAATTCCGTCTGGTAGACTTGAAGATGCCCCTGAAGTTTTTAATATTAAACGGCTTTTGAGTGAAGTAAAGAAAAAAAGGAAAAACGTCCACGAAAGAATGCAGTGTGCTTAGCAGCGGTTTTCACCCTGGTTCTCGCGCTAGCGACACTAGCCTCTTATGCAGACATCTTTAGTGTCTGTCACAACGTTGCGTGACAAACACTAAAGACGTCTGTGTAGGACTGTCACAACGTTGCGTGACAAACACTAAAGACGTCTGTGTAGGAATGGATTCGTTGCATTGGCTTGTGTCGGGTTGCGCATGCGTTGCTAGTGGCGCTACCCATGCTTTAGTCTTGAGAGTGGACCGCGGAGGAATAGAACGCAACTAAAAACAGCTGCTAAGGAGAAAAAAAATTCGTTAAGTATTTCATACTTACCTGCGATAGTGAACCAATAGCTATCAGTGTAGCCCAGATGGCGTATATGATTTGCAATGTGGTAAAAGCTTGATATATTCCTCTCTATTTTCTCTACGAGTTCGATGAAGTGATCGAGTGCATAGACATTGTAGACGATGGGAATACTTCTCTTGGTGCTAGAAACAAGATGAACAGTCAAAAGGGACCATGTCGCATAACTCACGATTTTGGTTCTTTGCAGCTATTTGTTTTCCTTCATATGATGTCTGCTACCTCAAGCGGGCATCCTTTCCTCCCTCCACCCCTTATTTTTCCCTTTATTAGTCCAACAGTTAATGCCTCCCGCGCCTGCCTTAGTTTGTTGGTCGGTCGATAGGACCATCTTTATCTGTATTGCTCCTGTATCCCTCCCTCCCTTTCTGACTGTTTCCTGTCATGCATGCATGCATCAATTCCTTCCTGCCTTGCGTTGATTTAAGACTTGGCAATAGGGTAGGTTTTATTTTGTTACCATGTTTCTTGTTCTCTGCGTTGTTCAAATCTTGAGTACCACAGACATGAATATACACGTGCTCATGGGTATTTGAAGTTGCATGTTGCATGTTGCATGTTGCATGTTGCATTTTCCTAAACGTTGTCT